GAGATTTGGAAACTTCCAAACCAATCAAAAGACAATGCCTACACCATTGCTCCTGTTGTTTGTGTTAACATAGTGTCTCCCATGCATCTGGGCCACCCCAGTGGCTGAATAGATGGCAGAAATTTTTTTCCATTTTTTTTTTTATTTCAGCATATTATGGGGGTACAAATGTTAAGGTTACGTATATTGCCCATACTCCCCCTCCCACCCACCCAACACCTGATAAATGTTATTCCTATATGTCCCCTTAGGTGTTGATCCGTTAATACCAATTTGCTGGTGAGTACATGTGGTGCTGGTTTTTCCATTCTTGAGATACTTCCCTTAGTAGAATGGGTTCCAGCTCTATCCAGGAAAATATAAGAGGTGCTATAGCACCATTGTTTCTTAAAGCTGAATAGTACTCCATGGTATACATATACCATATTTTATTAATCCACTCATGTATTGATGGGCACCTGGGTTGTTTCCACAGCTTTGTGATTGTGAACTGTGCTGCTATAAACATTCAAGTGCAGTTGTCCCATTTGTAGAGTGTCATTTGATCTTTCGGGTAGATGTGGATGGCAGAAATTACCAGAGGAAGTGGCCTGCAGACCGACAGCTCTCCGAGGGAAAGAGGAGACATGGGGAAGTTACCTACAACCATGGTCTTCGGCACATAGCAAAACAGTATCTTAAGATAAATGTACAATCTGGTTGCATAAATTATGTAAATTATGTCCTGGTTGTCAGCATCATCTTCAAAATAATCACAAAGGTAATAATAATAAGAGCAAAGAGTTAAGCACCAGGTGATATTCTAAAGTATCCATTCATTTAATCTTCATAACAACCCCTTAAGATAAGTACTGCTATTATCCCCACATGAGGAAACTGAAGCACAGAGAAGTTAACTAACTTGTCAAAGTTATGCAGCTAGGATGTGGCAGAACTAGAATACTAAGGATGCATCCTTTTGACAACATCTTGCAGGTACCTGTGGTAGGCAAGAGAATGACCCCTCAAAGACCAGCCATTGCTGGCTTTGAAGATGGAAAGAGTCTATGAGCCAAGCAGTGCAGGCAGCACCTAGAAGCTTCAAAAGTCAAGAAAAAAGATGCTCCCTGAGAAGCTCCAAGAAGAATTCAGCCCTGTTGACACCTTGATTTTAGTCTTATGAGGCCGATTTTGGCTTTATGACTTCCAGAACCATAAGATAATAAATTTTGGTTGTGTTAAGCCATTGAGTTTGAAATAATTGTTACAGTAGCAATAAGAAACTAATATGCTACCTTATTTATAAGTTGCTTTGGATAACATATAGAATGAAGCTAGTGCCAGAAGGCATCTTTAAAGTGGCAATGAATTACCTGTTCTGCCTTTAGCAGCGAATGGAAATTATCTTTCTGAAGGTTCTTCTCTCCTTGATGCCAGAAATTACATGATTTGAAACAAACATGCCCATGATTCTGCTTCATTTTGAACAGGGATAGAAATGGCTTAGGAAAACTACAAGAGCTTCTTGCTAATACTGCCTGTACAGTAACAGATCAGCTGGATTCTAGGTTCAGCCCATACTCCCAGAGCCCCTGGGAATTCCATCCTAGCTGGGTTCCATCTAAGAAGAGGTGTAGGAAGGAGGCCTTGGCATCTTTCCTATAAGTAGGCTTAAGTCTAGCCACGCCACTGACTGGCCCAATAGACTTGAAAAGTCATTTAATGTCCCTGAGCCTTTGTACTTTTTTATTGCAAAATGGAGGTGATGATATTCAACTAATGCATTAAATGTGATGAAAATACAGGATTTAGATGAGGGCTTCAATACACTTTAGTTTCCCTTTCTCTGTGTTCTCCTCTCTCTCCCTTCTTTCTTTCTTGAATCATGACCAAGAATTGTCATTCCTTTCCCCGGTTAAGTAGTGAGGATTCTGTTTGTCTTGTGCAAACTCAGGGCCGAAAGTACCTTTATTCGTAGGAGGCAGGAAATTCACAGTAACTGGAAGATTAATTTTTAGACATTTCATTTGTTCTCTTTTTCTGTTTTACTGTCTTCAGCCCTTTACGACACTATTCCCTTGGCATTTGCAAATTTACTTTTTTATTTCTACAGGTGTAGGTGGATTGATTTAAGAAAAGAAATGGTAGCACAAAAGAGGAGATTTTTTTTGCAATGTAGAATTCATTTCAGAAAGGAGGAGCGTTTTTCATAATTATAATAGCTTAACATTTGAATGTTTATGAAGTACCAGGCACTGTTCTGCATATCTCATACGTATTAATCCATTTAATCCTCGGAACACCATGAAGTGAGTACTTGTATTAGTAGTCAAGGAAACTGTTAGGCACAGAGAGGTTAAGTAAATTATCCAAGGTCACACAGCTAATAAGTGGTAGTACTCAGATATGAAGCTGGGCAAATATATCTAGTTTCAGAATGCATGTTTTCAACCACTTTAGCAGCTTATTCAACACTCCTTCCCCTGGAAACTGGGGAGAAGTAGATATCAAAAACAGAGATTAGAAGAAAATGAATCATAAAGAGCATTCGAAATAAGTATTGAGCTTAATGTTATTGAAATCTGATGTTGTTTTCAAATATTCATACTAGAAACCCAAGTATTATACATATGGGCAGGTAACTCAGTCTGATCAACCTTTTCTAAGGAATAGTGTCACAAAGCCAACGGAGAGTCCTGAAAAAGGGTCTGGGGCTTGCTATTATTTCCCAGTGCTAAGATTCCTTGACCGGAAACAATCTCAAGACTTCCAAAGGTAGACAAAATATCAAGCCTGCTTTCTTTGAGGGAGAAACAAGTTCCATTTCAAGGACAGGAAGTGGACATTTTCTTGGCTGAGGGATGCTGTTTCTTTACTGGAAGTACCTTCATTTCTTCTTCCTGAACCAGACTTCTAGAATTTTTTTAAAAAAAAAAACCTAAAAACAGACCATTGATATCACTTACTTCCTCCCCTTTCAGTGGTAATGGGGGGAAGAGGTCACACCATTTGCGTCGTCAGGCGCCTGTGGAAGCCCAGCTCGGACTCGAATCCAGTTCCCCCCACTCCTCTTCTGGGTCTCCCGCCGCTCAGCCACATGGATTTCTTTCTCTTACACACAGGCCCTTTTTGGCCACCAGTAAACACACTGACCTTTGAAATATGGAAAGAAAAGCGCTTTGAAATAAAACTGGCACAAACAGCGGTCAGACAGCCGTCATCTGGAGGCTGAAACAAAGAGGAGCACAGTTTTCAAGCTGTCTTCGTAATTACACAAAGCAGTTATCACTCAGGCCCCAGTCTGAGCATTGCCCCCCAAACAAACAGCCGAGGGCTGAGAGAGCACATAGGCCACTTTGTTATTAGCATACCGGGGAGTGGAAAGCCCCCCCAGCTAAAAGCACAAGTGGCTCAGAGTGGTTTCCAGGTCTCCCGGCCCTTTCCTTTCTCCTTTCCCCATTAAACCCCTCTGCTCTTCTTGGCAAAGGCCTTCAGGTGAGGTAAGTGCCAATTAACAACAAAGAGCTTGATGTAGTTCAAGTTTATGATTCAGAGCTGGCGTCTCATGAAACATATTCTTCTTCCCTGATCCAGAAGCCGCAATGGATGGATAGCAAGGATCCTAAGTGTGATTGAGATTTGGTTCATTTTTGCTACTGCCCTAAAAGTGATTTCCCTTTTTGGGGTTTGCTCAAATAGAAAGCAACACAAACAAACCCAGAAAAGGACAAAACCAATTCTGAAAACTTCAGCTGCAAAGATAACTGGAGCAGAAGGCTCAGCAAATTGGGCTTTTGGAAAAAAAAAAAAAAAATGGTCTTAAATTTCTATGGGTTCTTTGGAAATAAATATGGCCAGACTTCAGAATGAGTAGGAGAGATGAGAATATCTAATCCAAAGCCTTTTCCAGCTTCCAAATTTGGATTTGATTTTTCTAGCCTAGGAAAGATTTTAGTCTTGTTACAATCCTTTGAGTGTTATCACGTCGGTTTATAAAAAATATTTTTGTGGATTGTCTTTAGGCCACAGTGATCTGAGATCTGACCAATAAAACGATCTGGTTTAATATTTCAAGACCATTGAAAACCAAGAGATTTGCTAATAGGAACATAAATAAGTTAAAATATATTCCCAAACAATTCCTCTAATCATTAATTGTATTCCATTGCTTAATATTTTCAGAGCCTACTGAGTTTAGCAAAGGGAATGACAGATGCATATTAAAATGCATGCAAATGCTACACACAAGCCACATTTTAATATATTGTTTTGCATTCATAATTTTAGTCTTGTGATTTGTATTTTCATTTGCTTGGGAACAAAGACTTTCTTCTTTCCCCACTTGGGAAACAAGGCAAGACTTGTTTCTGCCAGCATCTTAATGGTATTTCTGAAAAAGCAGCAAACTTAATGGTTCAGGAACCACTCTCCACCACCTGCTTACTGGCCCCTAACAGGGGCTGCATTTACAAAGCACTGAAAAGGTGAAAATATGCAATCAATCAGTTGCTTTGTCACATAACGGCAAGCAATCATTTTTTGTTGTTGTTGTATTAAAACTGAACAGACGGCTTTACAAAGAAAATTAAGCTGTTTAAATATACAGTCTCTTTTCAAACAGAGGGTGTGGCAGAGTGACTGTGATGCATTCATCAAATCCCATTCCCTTTTAATGGGTGGAGGTGGCATGGACAGACCACATTTCCTAGCCTCCCCTGCAATTAGGTGACTTCTGGTTAGTGGAAGGTGGCCCAAAATGATGCACACAATTTCCAAGTCTGGCCCTTTGAAATTACTGGGCAGTCCCCTACACGTGTGCATTTTCCTTCTTCCTGACCTCCTGGCAAGAAGCTGAGAATCAGGTGGAGAACACCAAGGGCCTTAGAGGAGCCCCTAGATGGAGGGAGGTTGAGTCTCAGAATAAAATAGCATGGAAAGAAGCCTCTGCCCCCTCTGTTTCCTCACAATAAACTATGACACTTAGTCATTGTGTGGCAGTCAGCCTCCAATGGCCCCTGTCTCCTGGCAATCACACCCTTATGTGTCTACCTCCTACATGGTTCCAGGGTCTGTCTGTGTGACCAATGGCATATGGAAGAAAGCATGGTTATCATTTCCAGGATTTGGTTATTAAAGTCTGCAGCCTATCCTGAGTACTCTCTTACTCATTTTCTCTCTTGGATTACTCTCTGGGGGGAGCCAGCTGCCACATCTTGATGTCGATCGGACAGGCTATGGAGATGCCCAGATGGTAAGGAATGAGGACCCCCCTCTAGCAGCCCCCAAGGAATTGAAGCCTGCCACAATCAGGTGAGTGAGCTCAGAAAAGAATTTTCTAGCCTCAATAGATCCTGTGGCATCAGCAGATAATGCCAGAATCTGTTTGAGTACAGATTTGTGAAAGGTACTTAGCTAGAATCACACAGCTAAGCCACTCCTGGATCCTTGACTCCCGGAAACTATGTGAGATAAATGTTTGTTGTTTTGAACAGCTAAGTTTTGGGGTTGTTAATACAGCAATGGATAGCTAGTGCATAATTATGAATAGGACTGTAAGGTTCTAAGGGTGAAGACTTTGGTTTGTTATTCTTGAGATCTGACTGTCTAATGCAGTGCCTGGATGAGAGCAAGCACTGAATGATGATAAATAATGCATATGACTTTCAGTAAGATCCATAGTGTGGTCCTTTATATGGTGTGTGCAAAGTCAAAATACGATGCATAAAGTCAACATGTTAGAACAGTTCCCATTTTAAGGCTAGCTTGTGAGGTTATTGTATATCTAATCTTGGAAGATGGGATCAACTGCACCTTAGACTCAGAAAAATTCTAGGATTATATTCCTATCAAATGCATGGATCATAGTTTGCCAAACATTCCTTCAAAGAAGAGAAAAACTCAGTTATCTAGTTACATTTTTCCAGATTATCATACTTATGTTTGTATGGACCAAGTTCTGTTTTAATAGCTGCACTTAATCTGTATAACAACCCAATAAAGAGTATGCTGTTATTCTTCCAATTTTACTGATGAGGAAATAAACTCAGTAAAATTAAGCACCAGGTCACAGAGCAATTCAGTGACAGAGCTTCTTCTTTATGTCTGGACTTGCAAGCCCCTAGGATCTTGGGATTACCCACCATTATGCTTTATTCCTCCCTCACTTTAATTCTCCAAAGAGAAAGAACAGAGATGAAAAGTCCAGGAAAGGACCACTAACTCCGATAGAGTGGATGAAGAGATAACCCCACGAGGAAAGAAAAGAATAATCAAGACTTTCAGGCTTGAGAAATTCAAGTTAAGAGGCACTGTGATCAAAGTTCCTAAAATCCTGAAGGACATGCAATTATTTATTCAAACTGATAAACACCACAGGGATGGGCCCTCCCTTGAAGCTTATCAGAGATAGTTTAGGGGAACCTAGATGCAAGCTGCATTCGGATGGAATACAGACACCCTCTGCCTCCAATCCTGCTTCATAGAGACAAGACCTGCCATCCCAGATGCTGCAATGGAGAGGAAAAGAGTATCCCAAACCATGGGGAAAACAGCTCTGTGTAGAATAGCTAGAAGGGGATGCTTGGCCTCCCATGCATGGCAAAATCCTCCATAACCAATTCTTCCAATGCTTGAAGATCTGCTCTAGCCTCAGAGAAATCAGGAGGGGGCCAAGAAGCACTGGGAATGAGTGGCCATCTCTGTGTCTGCCTCTCCTGACTGCACTATTTTTGCTTGTTTTTCATGGGAACACGTGTGTGCAGTGAGAACTCAGAGTATTTAATTGCTGCAGGCAGCTTCCTAAGTTTTCTTAGCCCAGTGTGGTGGGAAAGAGTGGAAGTTGCTGTTTACAAGGAACACTGCCAATGGCTAATGGGAATTTTTTCATGACTTTTGGATGTTTGCAAAACTGAAGGCTTTTGAAATGCCATTTCAAGGCTGACCTAAAGTCTTCATGACACAGATAATGACTTGTGGAAAAAGTCATGGCTGACACAGAAACTCTTCACTTCCTCTGACTTTTATGAATTTTGATTGCCAAAATATGCTTCTCTTAATTTTAGGTAGTAAGACAGATTTTTTTAATCCATAACAGTTGGCGCTAGGCAGAGTTTTATTTAAATTTATCTTCCACTTCATGGGGCAATGAGTTTGCCAAAGAAATGAATGATGCATTAAATTTTGCTAGGAGAATATTACAGTTGGGTAGAATAATATACTAAAAAATGTGGAAGGAATGTTTAAATAAAAAGAAATTGATATGTCAGTTACCAATCACTCTCAATAGTTTATTAAGCAGGCCCTCAACGGTCTAATTCTCACAGGAACCAAGTTTGAATTCTTACACTTGAAAATAAGAATGCTTTGTAATGTTCCACAATTCAGAATGCTCACATATTTATGCTAGCCATTGTTTTCTCCCAATCATTCTGAACTGATGAAGTCTTGCTTAAGAAATAAAGAGCCTACATTTATACTGCTTTGTAGACCTTCCCAGCTGTGGCTTACAAAATCAATTACTTGGCATTAATTCATCACTTATAGGCTTTTCCATTAGACGAAAGATAATTTTTTTTCAAAACAGCTGGTGACTGTCATTGTATAAATAAATTCAGAGTCCACTAACAAATGGATCACTAATGTGCAAAAGGCCTTGTTCAGGGCCACCCCCTAAATGAAGGGGTGGTTTTGATGAGATTCCAGATGTTCTCCTACATTTGCCCCATTATGTTACTTGTATTTGACCTGCATCCTTTCTGTCCTGCCCACACCAGGGGTGATAGAAGCTGGATTAAAAAATTGCTATAGACTTTATCTCAATTTAGAAAAAACTCCAGACTTTTGCATCTGTTTTCTTTTCAGACCACCTCACCTTTTGGCAACCCTGGCCCAGTTCCCATTTTCTTTGTTTTTACCTTTTTTACCTTAGTTTTGTCTCTTTCTTTAGCTCAGTTGGTAACCGTGCACCCCAGTCATGAGCTACACCCCACTCTGCATGCAGTCTATGCTGACTTTTGATTCAGATGCATGCCACCCTAGACCCGGCTTGTCAGTATAGGGAGATTATCAATCTTTACTGGAGAACTATGTCCACCAAGGAAGTGGGAAAAATTTCCATGTTTCCAGGAGCTGAGACTGGACTTCTAGGATGATCACCATTTCCTCCCCACAAAGAATGCTGGCTTTCCCAAGGGTGAGCAGATTTGCTCCCTGGCAGTAATCTGATCTTTGATATAACGTCTCTTGGAGTCTCCATAATTCTTAAGGAAAGATCTTTAAGAACAAATACTTTATGGATCTATTTGTGTGTTTTAAAAAAAGTGTGGTTATGGCCGGGCGCTGTGGCTCACGCCTGTAATCCTAGCTCTTGGGAGGCCGAGGCGGGCGGATTGCTCAAGGTCAAGAGTTCAAAACCAGCCTGAGCAAGAGCGAGACTCCGTCTCTACTATAAACAGAAAGAAATTAATTGGCCAACTGATATATATATAAAAAATTAGCCGGGCATGGTGGCGCATGCCTGTAGTCCCAGCCACTCGGGAGGCTGAGGCAGAAGGATCACTCGAGCCCAGGAGTTTGAGGTTGCTGTGAGCTAGGCTGATGCCACGGCACTCACTCTAGCCTGGGCAACAAAGCGAGACTCTGTCTCAAAAAAAAAAAAAAAAAAAAAGTGTGGTTACAATAGGAAGGAGAAAGTGGTTACTGGTGAAATAAAGATATGTCAATAGATAAGGAATTATTATTATTATTATTATTATTTTGAGACAGAGTCTCACTGTGTTGCCCAGGCTAGAGTGAGTGCCATGGTGTCAGCCTAGCTCACAGCAACCTCAAACTCCTGGACTCAAGCAATCCTAACTGCCTCAGCCTTCCGAGTAGCTGGGACTACAGGCATGCACCACCATGCCTGGCTAATTTATTGTATATATATTAGTTGGCCAATTAATTTCTTTCTATTTATAGTAGAGATGGGGTCTCGCTCTTGCTCAGGCTGCTTTCAAACTCCTGACCCTGAGCAATCTGCCCACCTCGGCCTCCCAGAGTGCTAGGATTACAGGCGTGAGCCACCGCGCCTGGCTGATAAGGAATTATTTAAAGAATAATGTCAGGGTCTCAGTGTTAAGCTCCATTTTTATGTTTAGACATATAAATATCTAAATATCTAACGAGGAGATTCAATGTCCTACTTTGTCTTCTCCTGATCATATATCTTGACTGGTTAACTTGCAGTTTCTACATGTGGGTCAGAGGGATCCAGAAATAGTTATGATTATATGGATTCACAAGTAGTACAAAGTGTATTGCTTTCCACTAATACCTCCTACTAAGCCATAGATGACTGCATCAAGAATAGTCATCTTTCCCAGGGAGAACAACCCATAGACTGACCAGTAGCCTGTGATAAAGTATGACATGAAGAGATGGGATGGGTCAATTGGACTTTTTCTCTTGGGATTTCAGACAGAAATACTGAGAGAATGAGGCAACATTATAGGGATTAAAAGGAAAAGAATGTCATTAGATAGAATCATGGCCACAAGGAATGATCGGAAAGTAAAGTTCTAAGGGAGTAGAAATTTTGAGTTGGAAGAAGGTATGAGGCAGATACAAGAGATACAGAAAGCCAGTGAACGGGGAAGCAGGTGCAAGGAGAGAGCCCAGGGCATGCTCATGGTAGAACACTCAAGTGAAGGTTCTGGCAGTCTGGCTCTTCTGTGATTCTGCTCTTTCCATGGCTGGTGGTTCAGCTTTCTTTACATAGATGTCTTTGCAACCAAGGAATACTTTTCATGTATATGCTGACAACACACCTATTATTTTTACACTTAACAATGCTAATAGAGAAACTCCGAATTTCTCCTTGTCTTCTATCTCGTTTGTCTTCTATGGAGCACCACATTGCTACCTGAACAGTCTATCTCAAATGTAAATTTGATCATTTTATACCCCTGCTACCAAATGGTTTTTCACCAACAGAATACAACCCTACATTGTTTTTCAAGATCCTAAATGCCTCCAGCTTACCTTTCCAACCTTATAGTCTACCCTTTGCTTTTCAGCTCTGTATGTGAAGGGCAACTAAACAGGTACACTCTCTCCACCTTGTTGTCCTGTGCCTGTTCTCTTCACTGCCTGGAATTCTCTCTCCCTCAACAGCTCTACCCGGGGCTATTGCCTGCCTGATAAAACCCTATATGATTCTACAATATCTAGATCTTCATCTTAGAAGCCTTCTATGGCCTCCCACATGGGGATGAGCTCTTCCACCTTTGAGCTTCCACTGTGACAGGTTCAGTCATTATGCTATTTAAGCA